GATGCAGCTGATAATGAGTCTAACAGCTCGGTTGGTTCCTGAGCATCAAAGAAACCTGCTCTGCTTGAGCCTGAGGTCAGCGCACGGTGAGGACCTCTTCTGCCTGAGTCAGAGGTCGCTGTGTTGTCTAGTCCAGCGGCATCGGCCAGAGGCCAGCGTGCCGTCTGGACCTGCCTCGTTTCTGCTAGAGGTCAGTGCGCTGTGTGGTCCTGCGCGCCAGCCACCTGGCAAGCTGCCTATGTGCCCCAACTCTGTCCACATCTTCGGCACAGCCACCGCTTGCCACGCGGTCACCCCCCGGACCCGCCTCGTCACCTCGTCAACGGCTGACTGTGGCCAATTTCCCCTTCCGTCCTAGATGGTTTTGGTCACTGTCACATTCTCTTCACTGCACCAAATGTAGAAAACGACAAACTGAGTGAGGGTCTCCAGGTCCTGCTGTTTAAGGATGGGTCAGTCTGTCAGACCAAAACAGTCCTGTGGCTGGAGGAGAGCATCATCGTGTTTTAATGATCCGGGTTCTTGGAGAGGTCTGTTTCCTGAGGGCTGTGTAGGCAGAGATGAGGAACATAGAGATTGTTCGAGGTCAGGAAAGGGTGTTGCTATGTAGACATGTTTGATGTTACTGTACACATTGTCTAATGTCCTGTCCCCTCTTATAGGACACTTAACTTTTGAAAATTCCACCAGAAAAAGAAAGGGAGCATCTTGACTCAGTAAGTCTAGGGCTAAGCTCTGAATCTGACAAATATTATGCCTATGCCAAGCATGTAATAGGATATTCTTTGATGCATAGTTGTCAACATATGCACCAGCTAACATCCTAAGACACCCTGCTAACATGATTAAAATTGGTTTGGTATTTATCATAGCAAAACAGCAAAAGGCAGTCCCGTGTTCTGTCTGATGACCCTCTCTCTCTGCCTACCAACAAAATAGCTGAAGAAGAAAAGATTAAAACAGACCTACAGTATATCTACAGAGCTATATCATTATCTGTAGGTAATTTCACACCGAGAGCTTTATTTATTTTAAAGAACCATTTGTACTTGCAGTAATGTCAAACACTGAGTAGTCTCTCTCTCTCTGGGCGACGCCTCCGCTGCATTTCCTGCAGCAGGAGGAGGAGAGCCACCTTTGTCCCCAAAGCCACCCTGCTTTTTAACTCCAACCAATAAGACCATTTCCTCACACCCATAAACATAAACTACACTCTTCTTATACTACTGACACTTTATTCACTTTTAGTCACTTACAGTTATTTATTCACCTTTCAGTCTCTTTAATATAAAAACTGTATATACTGTGTATTTATTATTTCACTCCTATTGCCTGTTCTTATTGTCCTTATCTTCAACGTTATGCTGCCCGGTTGTTTGTTAATTGCCCCTTGGGGATAAATAAAGTCTTCTGATTCTGATTCTCTCTCCGATATGCACACACACACACACACACACGCACACCTACACACACACACACACACACGCACACCTACACACACACACACACACACGCACACCTACACACGCATACACACACATACACAGATAGAAAGAGAGGGAAAAAAGAGAAAGATTAACAGAAGTGTGGTCAGCGATGTTGTCAACTTTTTCAGCTTGTACACACAAACTCGATGCATGGAAAGTTAAGCATTGTTTTTGAGGTTGGGCTTTCAATTGAGGTGTGAATTCACAGGGGGCTTATCTTCCTGTCTCGCTTTCTATTTTAGTTGCAGGAACCTAGGCTGCTGCTTTACCTTCTCATCAGGGCGAGTGAAAAAACTACCTCTGTCTGACAATGTTCGTGAAAATACCTTAAAGTAATTAAAACCTACAAAAGAGCTGTCGACACACAGATACCCAGTCACACTACATCATCCTTACATATTCTATGAATATTCTCATATTCATAATATTAAATGGCAGATTTAGTGAAAATGAGCCAATGGCATATATCAAAGCCACTTTGTGCCAAATACAGTATTTTGCTAGTAGTTTTTGGGGTCTGTGAAGAAATGAAAAGAATTGAAAATTTCATTTCATTTATTCAGCCTATCTATCTATCTATCTATCTATCTATCTATCTATCTATCTATCTATCTATCTATCTATCTATCTATCTATCTATCTATCTATCTATCTATCTAT